GTAAAATGCTATGCCCAAGATTACTATCCGAGTGCCGGCGGTGGGGTGGTTCAAATAGCCTCGGCTATCACCTCATTATGTCCGGTCGTGATGGTCAAGTGGATTAAGGCGTCTTGTACATACCAGTTGCGTGGCTCCTGGGAGTATGGGTTCGAGTCACTTCTGGGGTGTGAGTTTTCAGTTGCATATTGTCCTGGGGACCATTCAGGCTTGTTCGCATTTGTGTTCCTCACGTGTGCCCCAAAGAATGAGGTGATTTGGTAAAATGCTATGCCCAAGATTACTATCCGAGTGCCGGCGGTGGGGTGGTTCAAATAGCCTCGGCTATCACCTCATTATGTCCGGTCGTGATGGTCAAGTGGATTAAGGCGTCTTGTACATACCAGTTGCGTGGCTCCTGGGAGTATGGGTTCGAGTCACTTCTGGGGTGTGAGTTTTCAGTTGCATATTGTCCTGGGGACCATTCAGGCTTGTTCGCATTTGTGTTCCTCACGTGTGCCCCAAAGAATGAGGTGATTTGGTAAAATGCTATGCCCAAGATTACTATCCGAGTGCCGGCGGTGGGGTGGTTCAAATAGCCTCGGCTATCACCTCATTATGTCCGGTCGTGATGGTCAAGTGGATTAAGGCGTCTTGTACATACCAGTTGCGTGGCTCCTGGGAGTATGGGTTCGAGTCACTTCTGGGGTGTGAGTTTTCAGTTGCATATTGTCCTGGGGACCATTCAGGCTTGTTCGCATTTGTGTTCCTCACGTGTGCCCCAAAGAATGAGGTGATTTGGTAAAATGCTATGCCCAAGATTACTATCCGAGTGCCGGCGGTGGGGTGGTTCAAATAGCCTCGGCTATCACCTCATTATGTCCGGTCGTGATGGTCAAGTGGATATATATATATATATATATATATGCAGAATAACCACATGTGAAAAATAGAAAATGCTTAACGCGTTTTCGGCTAATTCGCCTTCATCAGAGCAAAGTAGAATGAAGATAAGAATGCTGATCAGACCTTTATATCCGCTGGGCAGATCACCTGACCACAAAAAATAAGTGGAGGAAAGGAATTATAAGAAAGAAGGTAACTGCAGAAGGCCTATTGGCCCATACGAGGCAGCTCCTATTAATATCTCCAAGTGCCATACGTGTTAAATGATTGCTATATTGTTTTGACGTGCTATATTGAGGCTTAAATAGGGATCCAACTTGTACATACCGGGGCTCACATTAAGGCTGTTGTTACAAATCTGTTGATCTGCCCAGCGGATATAAAGGTCTGATCAGCAATCTTATCTTCATTCTACTTTGCTCTGATGAAGGCGAATTAGCCGAAAACGCGTTAAGCATTTTCTATTTTTCACATGTGGTTATTCTGCATACTTGGATCAGTGTTTTTGTGATCATTGTTGCATATATATAAATAAATAAATATATATATATATATATATATATATATATATATATATATATATATATATATATATATATATATATATATATATATATATATATATATATATATATATACCATATACTTAGTGCATATTTGCTATATATGCAATGGGCGGTGGTGAGAGGTACCACCGTGGTGAGCCAGTTACTTAACAGTGCAGTATTTGCTAATCATGTACCCCACACCCATGCAATGGGCGGTGGTGAAAAGTTTATAATCATGTACATTCACTACCTACACTCCTACAGTGGACAAACTTTGGATATTTGCCTAACATACCTGGTAGTACATCATTTTGAATTAAATAATTACACATTTTTTTAACATTTTGTAATAGAATTATCTCTGAATTCTAAAACGAAAAAAAAATTGAATTTTATGCATACTGTATTGTAGTGTATGTTAATAATTCTGCTGACAATGTTTATATTTGGTCAGATCTACTTCATCAGGTGGTGCAGATTCCCAGCTGTACCTGTAGCCAAGCCTATAAGCCTAGCAGTAGTAGTAACGCCTATACAAACCTGCTTGCCTTATTGGATGAGTGAGTGGATGACCCATAGTTATGTGGCTCTGCCTGCAAAATGCTATAATAGAATGACTAGTGTGAATTTCACTTTGTTGGGAGCTATCGCTATGTTTAACTGAAACTTATCTCGTAGGATGGTTTAACATACATATAGAGGGAAGAAAATATAGCCATAACCAACTTTGGAGAGGGGCTACGTATCATCTTCACTATGAGGATACATCACCTAGATCACGAGAAGACATCAGAGTACTAAATACATCATGCTTACACCTTTAATTAAATGGTTTAATGTCCGGACACTCAAGTATCTAATGATGGACAGTTTGACCCAACCTGGTTTAAAATTCAGATTTAGAAAAAGTTATTCATAAATGGTTCTACATTTATGATTGATATAGTTTCAAGTGCTAAAGAACTCTTAATTGCAAAATTAAATAATAAAACTACTACTACTACTACTAATAACAATAATATGTGGCTGGTCTGTACATGTACTGTATTTAACAAAGTTCACAAAATCGGACACCTTCCATTTTTTTTACCTGATTTCTATCCACAATAGCCTTATGAATTAGCCACCAAACAAAAGCCGACACATTTAACCACTGCAGAGAACATAACATAAGAACACAGGAAACCGCAGAAGGCCATTGACGCATACGAAGGAGCTCCTACTTATAACTACCAAAACTCATTCATATATATGTCTATCCTACACTTGAAACAATCCAAAGCTCAGCCTTCTACTACGTTCCATAATTCAAAAACCGTATTTCCAACCACTATTTATCTTTGCTTCTAAATTTAAGCACATTATGTCCATTGTTTCATGTTCTATGATAATAATCAAATGATGTTAAAACTACTACTAATAATACAAATATATAACTACTGTTAATAATAATAATAATAATAACTGTCGAACTTATAATTACAATAATAAATATTGAACTAAATTATTACCAAGTAATAATAATAATGTATGTGATAATGCTTATAATACCATCGGATATTACTATATATATCATATAATAAAATATATTTTATTTCGTAGAAGAGTTATATAATAAACTTCCTATGTCACCCATTTCTTTGTATACATACATCGTATAGTGTCAAACATTAAGTAAATGTCCTAATATTCGCTCTGATATTTTTTTCCATCAGGTACTAATTAAATTTCCGTATAGTCATGTACTGCTTTGAGGGCCTCAGAGTTGAACCGAAATATTTTATTTATATTTGCTGTGATTTTCCTGATTTTCTGATTTTCATATATATATATATATATATATATATATATATATATATATATATATATATATATATATATAGTAAGTATTAGTGAGTTTAGTGAGAAAATAAAGAGAACGCAATTCAGATTCCACATTAAAGTCGTATGATTATTTTTTTTAACAAGCTTAGATAAACATCAGTGTGCTTCTCCCTTATTTTATATGAGGGATTACTTTGTACAGATAAAGATATAGCTGCTATTTTCTTCTAATACCTTATTTATCTTTATTAATTTAATAAATAATTTTTTAAAGCACAACTGGATTGCGTCTGCGTGTAGTACATTTATTATAATAATACACATAGCAAATAATATAGTCTTATAGCAAAAGCAGTGATAATTTACGGTACAGCGTGATTATGTAAGGTTATTAGACTAATATTAATAGTAAAAAAAAATCTTATTTGTAAAAGCATTTAACATGATAGGTAAGCTTTTTCATATAAATAATTTTTCATTCTGGTATGAGGTGCTTTGAGCTCTCTAACTACAGTACTTCATACACTGAGGAATATTGGAAGATATTCTTGTGCTGTACCCTGATTTTGCTAGTGCAGGCTAATAGATCAACCTCGCATTTCAGGTTCTCTCCTAATTCCATATATAACTAACCATCCTGTGAGATGGGGATATTAGACGAACTTATAGCTAGTTTTTTATCTACACTTTGTAATCCTTCATATAGAATAGGGTAGCAGCACATTGCTGTGCTGCTACCTTATTATTAAGCTAGTTAATAAAAAAAAATCATTCCGTTAAAAATACAAAATTAAACAATGATATGCTGTATTCCCCTCCTGCATGGAATTCTCAACAAACAACTGTTCACTGTAGATCATTTTTCCCTTGTTGTTGTTTCAGATTTAGCTACTCAGAACAAAGTGTCCATGTAGCACGGGCTATGGTGAGCCCGTAAACCATTTTTCCTCGCACAAGTTCAGTATATAGAGGGCGAGGAGGCGGGCAAGGTGCGGGTGAAGGGTGGGGTGTGTTGAACAGGTGTTTAAGAGGCAGATGGTGGCACAATGAACCATTGAACCTGTGCTCGCTCGCCTCCCCCCCCCCCCTTCACCATGTCATCACAATACTACACGAGCCGTAGCACAGTGGGCTTCTCTCGCTCATATTCTGTCCTCCCTTCATTATTCCAGCTGTATTTACCGCTGGGCATGACGATACTCTCGCTTTGCATATATAGGGATAAAATGGTGTATATCCTTGGTGGTGCATATGGATGTTTTAGATGGATAAAGTGTTTAGGGTGGAGCTTGGGCGGGTCGTATTTTTCGTCGCCAAGGAAACGTCCTGTCACGTTCTCAACATTTTTTTTCAATAAAGATACTTTTTAATATATTTTTTAATGTAGATACAATTAAAAATTATATAAATACAATATATTTATTATATGTTTAAATATAAATACACTTAAATATGATATATATATATATATATATATATATATATATATTATAATCAAGCATTTTAAGACCTGTGGTACGATAAATGTATTTACAGAGTTACAGAAACATAACTGTCTTCGTATGATACAAGATGCCTAACCAGTTCTCAAAATAAGAGTTTCATAAGATTACATGAGAGTAGATTGTAGAGCGGATGGGGCGGGGAAGACACAGCTGGATATGCACATGAGGGAACCCCCTTAAGTGACGCCTTTATCATGGAAACTCTCCTTCAAGACACATAACTCCGTCTAAATATTAGTATATACAAGCAAAGAGGCACAGCTTCCAGCTCAGGAGATGAGTAATTCAGATTCGACTCTGAAAATCAATATACAGTATTGCCTACGTGACTAAGAAGGACCTCTAAATGGCATTGGCAAACTAGAGTTACGTGCATTTTATGTAGACTACAAACATTGTCCGAGAGCACACACCCTTGTAAAGTGTTTCAAACCGCCTCATAGAATAATTCACGTACACAAATAATCCCCACTCACGAAATCTTCATTGGAGAAATCAATTTGTATTCAGCGCGCACTAAGAAAAATCTCCGGGTCTGTGAGAGTCAGTGAGCGACGGGCGAACCTCGCGCCGAGACCGTGAAGGTTAGGTAGTTGTAAACATGGCGTCGCGATCGACAGGCGGGGGAACCGTCCTCGCCTCGGGAATTAGAACGGTGAGTCCCTATACGTTGTATGTCTTGTTTAACTAGTCGGTGTCCTCGTAGTGCCGACCCTCATGGGCACGCTGGCGGGCCCAGGGCCGGATGAAGCGACGAAAATAGGGAGATAATGAGGTTGTCGGCGGGAGCGAGGAAGGAGTGAGGGTCTTTGTCAAGTGAGAAGTGTTGGCTGGTGTGGGTGATGCTCCTCCTCGCTTTCACTCGTGCACTCGAGTCCTACATCTTGCAACTCTCGCTCTCTCCTTGCCCGCTTTAGCTTCTTGAGCCTAGTTCTTGATCCTCGGGGGTGTTGCTGGGTCCTCTTGGGTGTCAAAATGAAGTAGCAGTTAAAAGAGGGATGCTTTAAAAATGTCTTTTAAGAGTTATGTTATTGTAGGAGGTGAGGTATAGTCTTGTGGCTTGGTTCATAACTCGGTCACCTGATGACCGTGCTCGGCGCCGCCTCCCTCTTCACACACCTTACAAGAGCGGCTCTTAGGCCTAGGTTAATGGTAGCGGAAGTAAAGTGTAGTTAAAGACTCGTCCTTGTAGAGATGTATCACAGTGAGGGACTCTTGACCCGGGGTCAAGGGTCAAGAGTCCGCATCCAAGTTATTTTATACTTGTTTCCTATTTGTTTCCTTCGGCCAATGACTCTGGTACAAGTAATACCATTTTTTTGTTCTTTAAAAACTCCGTGTTATTGAGGAATTAGTTTATAATACAAATGGGTACACGTGCGTGATAGAAGTATCAGAGTTGTATTGTTTTTATAACTATAGTGTGTGTGTGTGCTATAATTATTCGTGGAGTGTTTACAGCTGTGCAAAGTTTAAAGGGATACATACAATTATAACATGTGATTCTATTTCAATACAAACAGTGCAGAGGCTAAAAAAAAAACAAAAATTACCAAGTGTATGCCTGTATGATTTTTTTTGGGAATCCCGTATGTCAGGTTTCTGTTGTGTGTGTTTGACTGGCCTTGTGGTGCAGTTTCTGATAATAGAGCATTCCAATCACCTGGGAGAGCTGTTAACAAAACATGCATCGGCCTTTATTTTGTAATTTTGCAAAAAGTGTTAACTTAGGATACATTGTAATTGGGTGCCTTGGAGGTGTTTGTGATGAGTGATACTGTATTGATTTACAGCACTAGTTCAACCCTGGGTAATTGTTATTGCATGTATGTATGTATTGATTGGAAGCTGGGATAGCGGGAATCTTTCTGTGATGGGTCAATGTGTTGGGGATATGGTCCTAATTTTAGTTATTTTCTCAACTCCTTTTTCCAATTGTCAAACTGTTCATAGTTAGGTTAAGTTGGAAGAGGTTGTTAGGTTGGCGTATGCCTGGTTATTTGATCTTTCATTTGTGTTTACATATTAGTAAAGTTACCCCTTACCCTAAACCCATTTTGAAGTGTACAATTAAAAAAAAAAATTAGTAACGGGAGTCAAGTCTAAATAGGGTACTAAAAGTATCTACACATAATTGAATGCTGACCAGTGGATTGGCCAGATAAAGGTTAAAGAATAAGATTAATTTTATTACCATACAGTACTTCTAGACCCAACCACTTGACTAGTCGGTATGGTGATGACTATGCATCTTGCAATGGTACAGTTTGATCCCCGATGATCCAAGCAGTTGGACACTGTTTTTTAGTCTATCCTCATAACCTGGCTCATTGTTCCTACCCAGTTCTTTAGTGATATTAGTGTGTGCCTGATAATTACTTTACCTTTGTGATAGTTTATGAATAGTAGTTCCATTGCCCTTATTTCAAGTGGGACTATGTTAAAAATCATTACCATTGGTTAGGCAAGTATTCTCAAGGTTTGCATACATACTATTAATTATAAAAATATTCTTTACATTATACAGTATGGGTCTAATAATTGAACGATATTATATATGTTAATACAGTATAGAGTACAGTACAACTTGGGTGGATGTCAGGGTTGTGATGCTGCTGCCCAGGCTATTCAATATACTGTATATATTTTATAGATAGGACCATGATGGTAAAGTAGTCAGAATGTAAGCCTACTGTGAATAAGTTGAGCAAGTATAACTTGATGTATGCAGATGGTAGATTTAGGAGAGTGAAGTTTTATCACAAATTTGTGAAAAAGCAAAATTAAATTAAGGTAAAAATAATGTTTAATCTATGGTGGTAGTGAGGAAGCTATTTTTTCTAAGGGAATGGTTAAGCGGTGGATTAGTTTAAATTGTATACCTGGACTGTGGAAGGGGATACGGCATTGAGGATCCACAAGTGTGCAGTGAGAGTTTTGAGAGAAGGTAAAAAATAACAAATAAGAAATGTGAACATTAATTTAGAAAAAGTTTTTGAAATCCATGATTAACATTTAAAAAAGTAACGCACTGAATAGAATTTTTCCTGAGTTTTATAGATTTCCTGAAATTTTCATAGATTCCTGAGCCTACTAGGCTCTCTCATATCTACATTTGCAACTGTATGTGGAGTCTGCCTCCCACTGCCAAATTCATTCCTTCAGTTAACTACTCTTGACACAGTTTTTTAATGTCCCTGTGGCTCACTTGAGTACTAAGTTTCCTTCTGTATCCCCTTGTTTGCATACCACCTATGCTAAACAGTTTATCTAACCTGTCAATTCCTCTTGAGAATTTTATAGGTAGTTATCATGTCTCCCCTAACTAGTCTTTGAGTGTCGTGAGGTTTAATTCCAGTAATCTTTCCTCGTAGCTCATGCCTCTCGACTCTGGGACTAGTCTAGTGGCATACCTCTGAACCTTTTTTAACTTCGTTTGGGTTTGACAAGATGTGGACTCCAGGCTGGAGCCGCATATTCTAGTATTGGTCTGATATGAGGTATACAAGGTTCTGAATGATTTCTTACACAAGTTTCTGAAAGTAGGTCTTATGTTCACCAGCCTTGCATACACCGCTGATGGTATCCTTTTGATGTACGCTTCAGGGGGACAGGTGTGATGTGATATCAACCCCCCAAAATTTTCTCTCTTCCTGAGAGAGTAAGTCTGTAGGAGTTGTGGGAGGGGAGATAAGGTGTGATGGCATCTTCAAATCATATCAGATGTCACCCCAAACGCCACTGGACTTTGAAGTAGCCATAGACATCATACCCATGTACTTTGTGTCAGGCTGATTCCTGGAATTGCATAATCGTAAAAAAAGAACAAAAAACTCGGACCCTTATTATGGTGACGGAGCATAGATACTGGTCCCAGATATACTTAAATTAGTGGAGATACGACTACTCTACTCCTGTAGGGGGACTGACAGCCGAGTGGACAGCGCTTCGGATTTGTACTCCTGAGGTTCCGTGTTCGATGCCCAGTGGAGGCAGAAACAAATTGGCAGTTTTTTTACCCTGATGCCACTGTTACCTAGCAGTAGAAAGATACCTGGGAGTTAGACGGCTGCTACAAGCTGCTTCTGGGTGGGTGGGTGTGCGTGCATGTGTGTGCGTGTGTGTGTGTGTGTGGGGGGGGGGGAATAAAAGTTTGACAGTTTAGAGGCGGGCCAAGAGAGTCGGAGCTCAACCCTCGTAAGTGCAACTAGGTGAATAAAAAGGAGATAATAAAGCAGACAATTTTTTTTAGACCAATAGGACTAACATCACACATCATAAACAAAATATATGAAAGTGTTGTGTAGCAAGATCACAAAAAAATATCGAATCACAGCATCTATATAACCCTGGACAACAAGGAGCGCCTGCCTCTCAGTTGCTAGATAACTATGACATGACATGGCCTTAGCTGCCGTGGAAGACTCAAAATGCTGATGTAATACACATTACAAAAGCTGTCAACACGTATTCACCTAGTTGTGTTTGGGAGGGCAACCCATTCTCGCTCTTGCTTATAGTCAATATTGGCTTATTTAATAAGTGCATATGTGACATACTAATTGATTGTAAATATTTTAGTTTACCTTGAAAAGCTTCATAGAAAACACCGACCTCACCTAACCTTCTTAGTATGTTAAGATTAGCATCTTATTGCTTCCTAATTACAATTATAACTTAACCTATACCGTTGATAGGTTAAGTAATAATTGTAAATAAGAAGCAATAAGATGCATATTTTAACATACTAAGAAGGTTAGGTGAGGTTGGTGTTTTCTATGAAGCGTTTCAAGGTAAACTAAAATATTTACAATCAATTAGTATGTCACATATGCCCTTATTAAATAAGCCAATATTGACTAAGCAAGTGCGAGAACGGATTGGGGAGGGGGTTGAGCTTTGGCTCTTGGCCCGTCTCTCGACTATCAATTTTTTTTCCTCACCTCCCCCCCCCCCCCCAGGAAACAGCCTGTGGCAGCTGTCTAACTCCCAGATACCTATTTACTGCTAGGCAAGTGGCATCAGGGTGAAAGAAACTCACCCCATTTGTTTACTCCATCGGTCTGGATCGATCACAGGACTACGAATCCTGAGCGCTATTAACTCAGCTGTCAGGCCCCAAGTGTACATGGGGTTTTGTGTATTTTGCACACACTATAGGCACAAAAGGAATTACTTTACTAGCAAAGTAGGAAGCTGGATCTTTAATTTCCTAACAAAACCCTGTGTGTAATAGTCGACAAAGTAAAATCCAGATCAACCACAGTAAAAAGCTCAGTCCCCCAGGGTACTGTGCATGCGTCTTTTTCTCTATCTAATTTTGTACATAGACGTAGTATCGTGTCATCCTTTGAAGAGAACATGAGGATAATTGATTGGACATTATAAACGACACTGCAAAAATCCAAATTGATGTAAATCAGATCTTTCAGTGGGCCACAGAACATGATTGGTAAAGGCAAGTTCAAGGTCCTATGCTGTGAAAAAATGAAAATATCAAAATGGAAACTACATATAAAATGCAGTCAAATCACACCATAGTGAAAAAGACAATATACAGTAATAGATTTGGAATGGGTATGGAGTACAAAGTAAAAAAAAAAAAAGAATTGAAAGTGGATTAATCATGTCAGAAGATCTTGCTTTTAAATACAC